TCTATAAAACACAGAGAAGACCTTGAGGAATTCTACATGGAAAACCCTGATAATAACATCTAAACACACAAGTTACTGAACAGACTTTAAAGACCTCTCTAGAAAGTTTAATCTTTTCAATCATCTCTGCACACACTGTAACCATGAGGGATCAGGATTTCCTAGTGTAGATGCTCTCACGTTGACCTATGCCCTGGGTGGGAGAAGAGTGGATGTCTGGGATACGCCAGATCATGAGGGGCTTTCAATGAAAAGTGACCTCTGCTACTAGGTGCCTTCGTGTCTTTCTCTTGGAAGCTAGTATCCAGTACAATATATTTCCTTCCCAGCTTAACCCCTACAAAGGTCTCTCTGGCCATGAGAGACTCAGCCTTCCTAGAGAAGTCCTTAGAGGCCTGTGTGCTCTCTGAGGCTTCCTTTCTCCCTCCTGGTCCTAGTTCCTTTCTACCTGCAGACACTCCTGGATATGAGGAATTTTTTTTTAATATGGTTTAAAACTAAATCAGTTTGATCACACATCCCTAGCCCTCTCCACACTTGTGAATTTACAGTTTTCGTAGTGAACCCTAGGCAGGTGTATTTGAATAACATTGCCATTCCATCCACAGAATTGCCCTTTACTCAACTGTTAGCCCCAGATCCCCAGTGGCCAGTAAATATCTGAGAGTAAGGCAGATATTTGGATCCTAGAGGTCATTTTTCCCTAACCATGCAAAAAATGGCTCATTTTAGAAATAAAAACTTGTTTTCTTTACCTTAATTTTGAGTTTAGAAAAATGCCTAGTTGTAGGCAGAGGCCACTCGTTTGTTTCCCAAATACCCAGATGCGAAATAATCACACTGAAACTTTATTAATTGCACCACTGCTTGGACAATGACTCTAGAATATTTCTAGCTAACTTTTATATCTTAAATTAAGCCATTTCTATTAATCTGTGTATCACCATGTGGTTGTTGCCTGCTGGTAAGGTTCCATCCAGCGTCTGGCATCTGACACTTGTGACAGCTACATGCTTCTAACTCCATCTACTCTCTCTCTCTCTCTCTATATATATATATACACATATATATATACATATGTATATATCTAGATATAGATATATAGATATATCTTTTCAAGCCTGGTTATCTTCTGTTACGCCATTGTCCAAAAGTAGCTGCTTTATTAACCAATGACAATAAAACATATTCATAGCATACAGAGGGGAAGCTCACATTACCTAATCTCTGCCTTTCTTTTTCAATTCTTTTATCTATCTATCTATCTATCTATCTATCTATCTATCTATCTATCATCTATCTTTTATCTGTATCTTTATGAAACTTTGACTAGCAGAAATTTCAGGCCCTTCTAGGATTCAAACAAAGCATGACTACGTCAACCTGAACAGATCATGTGATTCATAGTTTAGTGGCTTTTTTCTCAAAAGTACTTCTTTAAATTATGCTTCACAATTATTATTTTTTTAAAGATTTGTTTATTATGTACACAGTGTTCAGCCTCCATGTATGCCCGTGTGCCAGAAGAGGACACCAGATCTCATTACATATGGTTGTGAGCCACCGTGTGGTTGCTAGGAATTGAACTCAGGACCTCTGGAAGAGCAGTCGGTGCTCTTAACCTCTGAGCCACCTCTCCAGCCCCACAATTATTATAAATTCTAAATGGCATCTGAATTCTTCGGAGAAATCTAATAAGAAGGAAAATTATGTATAACACAGTGAAATAAATATTCTAAATTGGACTGACTAAACACTGGTAAGAATCCTGGGGTATAGTATTAGAAAACCATTCCTGGATTTAACACCCTCTGTGATAATTATTCTTTTCTATCCTTGGAACCAGATTTTAATGTCCCAAGAAGCGATTTACATCTTATATAAGCAGCAGGGACATCCCAGCTGCCAAGAGAGTTCACTCCATGGTGCTTTTGATGGCAAAGTTTAAATGATTATGAATCTATTAGGAAGGAGAAGCATTGCTGACTCATTATTGTATAGATTTAAGGCATGATTGTCTCATTGACCTATGCCAATATGTTAAACAGGCCTTTCTCTGCAATAAAACGCAATTTGATTTGCGTGCCTAAGAAAACCCCACACAGCAGCCTCCGTTCAGCTGTATTTCATTCTTTTCTTTGTGTGTTGTTAGAGCTTGGACAGAGTAGAAAAAGGGTGACTCTGATGAGTTTAATTACCATTTTAGATGTTTATAATTAGGAAGGGGATTATGCAGAATTTCTAAAGATAAAATTGAATTTTTTGTAGTCTGCAGATCGAAGCCCAGTTGCCACACATTTGTTATTATTGAAAATTGGTTTCCTCCCTGCCAACTTTTCCTTACTGAATGAGGTTGCCTGTTGAGTGAATTGAAAGGCTCCATCACACCTCTGGGACAACAGGCTGGCTGATATCTGCTATTACTGACTTATATGCTCTGTTTTGTTCCCTCACCCTGTGATACTTGATAAGTATTTTGTCTTAGCCACATCTGTGAGAGTGTCATAAACAGAACCGCCATTACATCAAAATAAAGCACATACTTCATTTTTTTGGCCCTATGTGTATTCATTTTTATCTCAAGATTACAAAGCCACAACCTGTTTATGTATATTGTGATTTGATTATAAAACATTCCTGCAACCTATGAGCATTCTGATCTATGCTTCCTGCATTTCCCATCATTCTTTCAGAATCCACATGCATCTCCCAGGACCCTGCATTTGCCAAGACCTCCATATCTGCCTCTTTTAACATTCCTTAAAATGATTTTTTCTTAGTATACAAGACAGTGTGTTTCATTATGTCTCACTCGTACAGTGTATCATTGCCCTTTGTTCTCCTCTACCAACATCCTAAAAGACCCTCCTCCTTTGTGTACCAATCCTTTCTGTGCATTCATCTCATACATATATCATTACCCTTTCTTGTTTCCCAATCCTACTCCCCTTTTCACCTCTTCCTCCTCTCATGATAGCTTTAATTTTCATGTCATATGTATGTGTGTGTATATATACATATATATATGTATATATTTATATGGTGTGATTATAAGTTTAAATCTAGGTCCTGAATATTTGGACTCTTTATCTTTTTATATCTGAATTGTTACATGGGTATATAACCACTAGACTCTAAGATAACACCTATAGAGACACATAGCCATGTATATTACAGTATACTGTTCCCAAGACCAAGGATATGGAAGCAGTCTGGCTGTCCATCCCCAGGTGAACATGTGAAGAAAATACAGTACATGCTCAAACTAGAACTTTACTCAGCTGTAAGTAAAAATGAAATGAAATTTAAAAGAAAATACATGGAGCTGGAGATTTTCAGTTCATATAAAACTCCTTTCGTGTTTGAAAACTTTTGAATTGCAAAAGTGACACTCTCTTGTGGCTCATTCACTCATTCACTTAGCTTATTTCTACAAAGGTATCACCAGACAGTGACTGTGGATTACTCTATTATAAGTTTTCAAATACTTACTGATAATTTTGGTGTTGTATATAAAATACATGCGATATATTTTATCCTGCTCACCTTCTCTTGTCCCCGAACAGTGAACGCTCCATATCTCTAATTGTTTCCCCTGCTTTTACTGTCATCATTTTTAATGCATATGTCTGACTCACTGAGATTCAAGTTGTTTCCATGGGCTTGATGAGGGTGTATTTTTCTGAGACCTCAAGGTTCCAGTGCCTATTTAACTGAATAAAATATCTTTCCCTTCCACAACAGCCATTGACTGCCAGTCATGGAGGAGACAGGCCTGATGATTGCCCAATTCTTGAACACACAGTAGCAGGCCTGACATTGTGCGGGCAATTGCAGATACTATGAGCCATATCGTGTTTATAGAAGATAGCATAATTTTAACGGCTCTCCTCCCAAACATCCATGTCTTCCATTCTTTCTCCCCCATCTCCAGTGTTGCTCAGACCTTGGGGTGTAATATAGATATTCTTTTTAGTATGGGGCCACCAATTACCTGTGCTCAGCACTTCATTTTAGTCCAGTCCACAGGGATTACATGGAGACTGCTACCAGTTGTTTCCACATCATATTAAAATTCAGGTTCTTGATAGGTGTGGAAACTTTAGCACCTCCAAACACTTCATGTGTTATATAAGATAGTTGTGGTGAAATTGGTAATTCAGGTCCCACGGGACCTAGGAAAACCCTGCTGAAGGAGGTTGTGAGAATCTGGAAGCACACACATCATTAGCCTGGCCTGGCTGCTGTCACGCTGCCCATTGCTATTCCACTCTCCTGGATGCCTTCTGCAAGTGACAGCAGAATTTGAATTATACTTGCTTCCTGATGTAGGCTGTCTCCTCTTTACATGGCAATGCCAAAGCGTGCATCTCAGTTTGAGTCCCGGATTTAGAGGTCTTGACAAGAGTGACTGAAGATTCTGTCATTACAAATTTCTCAGGAGCCCAAGAGGTTTTGCAACTTAGGAGAGCCAGGAGAGTTTGTTTTTAGTTTCTATAGCTCTTTCCCCATGTGTGTGTGTGTGTCCTTGGTGTTTCTATTTTATATCAGAAGTCTATATTCTTTACCACAGACATAATTCAGTAAAATATGTCATAAGGAGGATTTGTGTAGGCTTTAGTAGTTCAGCCTCATTTCAGTTTTAAATTATGTGTATATGTATGAATGTGAGTATGTACATTTGAATTAAGGTACCTGTGGATGCAAGAGGTACCAGGTCCCCCAAATCAAGAGTTGTAAGCTACCCAGTGTGTGTGTGCAAGGGGCAAAACTCAGGTTCTCTACAGGAGCATTATGTGTTGTTTACTCTCAACTCATCTCTCAGGTGCCTGTTCTCTAAGTGCTGGAAAAATTGTTCTTTTGGTACAGGTGATAATTAGGTATGCTTCTGCCTACTGTTTCAATATGAATAAATATTCACGTTTTCTTTATAAGTTACCATTTAATAATATTCAAATACTATCTTCTAATTAATATTCTGTGCATATTTTCTATTTCAGGTTGAGGAGGCTCTAGAAGCTGTCAAAAATGCTACAAATGAGCAAGATCTTGCAAACCGCTTTAAAGAGTTTGGAAAAGAAATGGTGAAACTGAACTATGTAGCAGCAAGACGACAGCAGGTAGGAGAAATTGGAAATGTTTCTGGGGGATGGGTAAGTCTAAATAACCATGTCCCAAACATGGACCAGTCACATCTGCTTGTGATTAAATACTCCAATCATCCATCACGAAGTCTGTGTCCTGCTTTGACCATTCATGCCTCCATCGGTGCCTCCCCATGGGACCTGGGTACAGTCTGGTTACTGCCTATCAATAAATCATACACTACCAGTTTCTACTGATATTGAAAGAGGTTCTGCATCCCACCATACTTGAGCCTTCTCGGGTCAAATGAAAGAGAACAGACTGAAGCGTGGTGCTCTACACTCTCTGGATGCCACTGTTTTCTCTCAAACTAAATCTCCTGGTTCTGTGAAACCAGAAGGTTCGTACACAGCATGCAGCACACGTATCCATGTCTGAGCCTTACATTTTAGCATCATTCTAAATATTTTGCTGAAAATGAAGCAGAGCTGAAGAGAAGCAGACAGTAGAAGAGTATAAGGGACTTATAGCTGGCAGCAGTGGTCTCCATTAGTGAGAAGCAATGAAGGTGGAGGAAATACATAGGAGGTGAAATATATCTTGAAGAGCTATCTCTGTTTCAAAGGTGAGAAATGCATGATTGACAGCAGCGAGTTTCCTTCAAAGCTCTGGTGTAAGCAAATGCATAGAAGTAGAAGGCAGTAGTTTGATTGACAAGAGGAAGATTGAAAGAAGCCTAATTTGGGTTAGAAATCAATATGTGGTATTTACAGGCATGGATTTGGGATGCTTAGAGCATCCACACTGAAGTATCAGATAGAAGAGAAATAGCAGGCAGGAGACCGAATAGAGCCTCTTAGTGAGGAGCTGGTGTCAGAGCACTGATGATGTGGATATTTTTATGAGAAATCTAATAAATACAGCTCAGGTTTTTCAAAAAATGTCTTATTTTTAATCACCTGCTAATTCCAATTTCCTGTGTAAAATAATTGCTGAAAGAAGTAGAGCCCACTCAAAAGCACCTTGCTGGCTTTTCAGCCAATGGCCTTTTCTTCCTCCTTTTACAAAGTCACTGCAACTCTGTGATTACCATGTGCACCTCATTATTTGGTTTCATCTTTTCCCCTTAGTCTTGATTAAAATCCAGCCTCACACAGTCTGGGCAAGGGCCCAAACAACATCTCCCTCCTGATTTGTACTTTTGTGAAACAGCTTCTTGCTGTGTGTAAAACAACCCCTGAAATAGTTAACCAATGGTTCCTAATTCAACATAGATGCTTTCCAGTTTTATGCAGAAGGAACATTGCCTCAAATATCTTTTTGAAGAAGCATTTTCACCCTAATTTTTCAATGTACTTTTATATATGTGCATATTTATATAGGTAGGTGCATGTTTATAACTATATATATATGTATATGCATATTCATGTATACATAAAGATGCTTTCAGGAATGCACTTCATGTACCAGATATCGAGGAGTTAGTAAAATCAGTGTGGTCATTCAGGGGATTCTACTTATTCCAGGGCTCACCATTGTGAAAAGGCTCAGATCTTTGCTGACCACAGAGACTGCATTGCAATATTTCCTTACTTATTTTTTCACCCTAAGGGCTCAAATAATTACTTCTAGAAACTATGTTTACAGGAATATAGCTTATCATGCTTAAGCAAAAGAGAATGCATGGGTTAGTTATTATTTATTGTCAGCTAGTACCGACGACTCTAGATGTCTCAAACCATGTGCTTTGCTCCGACTCAATTTTAAACCCACATTAAAGGAAAGAACATATTCATTCAGACCAGCCAAATGTTACCTACAAAATGAGCAAATACAAAGAGACCCCCAGTGCATCAAACACCATTTACTGATGTTTAAGAGTTGAGAGACTGTTCCCCTCGACATTCTCCGTTGGCAAAAGCGAACAGCACCTCCTTTAGCAGTTCCAGGAATGATAAGAACAAACTCTCAGATGTGCTGTTGAAAGCTGAAAGAAAAGTGACTCCCAAGTGGTTTTGTTTTGAGAAAAACAGACCACTGTCGGCCTATTATTTTCTAGTCTTTAAATTTGATGTTTGATGGGACTATCAAAATGGTGCAGCAGTTAAGAGCACTTATACTCTTCCAGAGAAACTGACTCCATCCCCAATACTCATGGCAGATGGCCCACAACAGCTTTTAACTGTAACTAAGGGATTCAATGTCCTCTTTTGGACAAAGGCTCCAAAACACTTCACACACACACACACACACACACACACACACACACACACCTATAATAAACATGCAAATAAAAGTGAATCTTTAAAGTTGATGACTGCCTTGCCATTAGAGACAGTTAAAGAAAACTTCTTCAAGTGTGAGTGAAGTGGAACTGATACATGTTGGCTTTTCTTGTTTATAAATGTAAGTAAGCAGAAGCAAGCAGGTCCTAGGTGACTGATTTAAGGTTTTCCATTTGCTCAAAGCAATCACCCTGATGTCTATGACCCACTTTCTGTTGGTGCTGTCCTGCATTCCTTTAGCGATGTTTGTATTTTAAATACCTCTTAGCTGGTAGACATTGTGCTGATGATTAAAGAGTCAGTAAGATCAAAACAGACAGCGCTCAGTACTGACATGAGAGATCCTATGTAGAACAGTTCATGCTTACAAAGTCACTATAGTATGTCCCATGAGTGCTGATCATAGGGATAAGGGTACATGGTCTTATGGAAGAAGGCTTGGGTAGATTGGCAAAAAAAGTAAAAAAAAAAAAAAGTGGTTTTAAAAAGGTGAACCAGGTAAGTACTATGTCATATGATAGTGTGCATTGGATGTCAGCAACTGACTTAGACATTTCATGAAGAAAGAACAGCTTTGCATCTCTCCAGCAGCTACAAATAGCACAAGGGAAGAAGGAGTATTTCGAAAATCCACACTGTGTCCATGAGCCTGAGGCTGCAAGTCTCCCTGCAAACACTTGACACAAGCCTTATGTACGTTCCACTTTTTCACAGGAGCTGAAGGACCCTCACTGTAGGGATGAAATGGCTGCTGCCCGCGGAGCCCTGAAGAAGAATGCCACCATGCTGTACACAGCCTCCCAAGCCTTCCTCCGCCACCCAGATGTTGCTGCCACAAGAGCCAACAGAGATTATGTATTCAAGCAAGTCCAAGAGGCCATAGCTGGAATTTCCAGTGCCGCTCAGGCCACCTCACCCACCGATGAAGCCAAAGGCCACACAGGCATTGGCGAGCTGGCTGCAGCCCTGAATGAGTTTGATGTAAGCACCTGGCTAATACTTACAGAGTGTACATTTGCCATACACACAAGTACACACTCACTCACACATACATCTCTAAGTACTATATATACAGTATACATATGTGTGCATGAAAGGATACCATATTTTGCATAATTTAAGAGATACCATAAATTACAGGCACATAATAGCATATGCTGATTTTCTTTTCAGAATTTTTTGACAGGAAGATAAATTGTATGGTGTGTATTACTGTTACTGGGAACCAAAAATATTGGGGGAGCCTAGTAAACTAAACTCTTTAAAGAATATAACAACTATGTTTAAGAGGTCTGATCACTGCCAGATACAAGGAATGCATCACCTCCAAATCATTTGTATAATAAATTTCATTATAAAGGAGACAAATATCATAAGCAGCTGGCTTTAGATTGCATGCATACTGTGTCTCAGTGGAAAATTGCCCACAATTGCTTCAGTTTAAATTACTGACAAGTAAATTCTATTACCCTAAACCCTACCTTGGAATCTGTCTTTGTATGCATGCCTCCTCTCAGGAGTGCCAGATGCAAATCCCATAAAGCACCTATCGCCTGCATCTGCTTATGCTGATGGAATAGCCTAGAATGGGACACAGGAGACTTCTTCTGCCTTGACCATGGCCTTGCTGTGTAAGTGCATGAGAGGGTGCAGTCATCAGCATCCAAGGATGAAAGAAAGCACACCAACAAGATCCAGGTGTGGAAGGCTCATCTGTGCAGTCATTTATCCTCTAGCATGTGATCCTGCTGAAAAAAACACGGCGACTCCTAAATTTCCAGACTCTTTCTCAAATGGGTATTTTGTTTCACAGTGGAGATGGGGGCAGTACAAAAAGGAATAGGACACAATTCACAGGAAAAAAAAAAAACTGTTTTGCTTAGATGCTGCTGGGAAGGATGGACACTTTCTCTTGGGGGAGGTTAACTTTTTGCAGGCAGTGATTAGCAAGAGGAGAGGATCCCGAGGAGAGCAATGTGTGCCTAAGGTGTGAGGTAGAAGATACAGCTGAGGAAAATTTGCAATATTATGTATTCTGAAAGTTCTAAGATCCTGTCTTCTCTCTTAATTAGTTTCTATGAGTGTACACATGTATACTTTCTTACACATATACACATATTTGAACTCACACCATACGGTGACTTTATAGGATTTTAGAAAAGTGTTGAATTTTGTATATGTTTGTGTGTCTCTGTGTGGGTGTGTGCCTGTGTGTGTCAGAGCCTGCTGAAGTCTGAGGAAACCCATCCCCTGAAGCTGGAGTTTCAGGAACTTGTGAGTCGCCCAGCATGAGTGCTGGGAATCCAACTTGGGTATTCTCCAAGTGCAGCATGTGCTTTTAACTGCTGAGAAGTCTCTCCAGTCCATTACCAGGTTTTAAGTAAGAAGTAAATCTGAATTTAGTAATTAATTGAATGGATTTTTTGCAGAAATGGGTACTCGGTGCCATCTAGTTCCACGTGCAACACTTCAGCATGTAGCTCCCAATTTTTAAAAAAGAGTGGTGGTTGCACGTTTCCACACTTCCATGAAAATCAGTAGAACTGTTCACTCTATTCTGTTACTTATTTTAATTTCCTCACATGCTCCAAAAATACACAAAATATAGGTGTGCAGTGCCAAAACCAGAATAGACTTTTCTCTACTGAAGGGCAGATCTTACTTTGTGGTGTGTAACTCTGGGACACAGGAGAGGAAAGCTATTGACTCCTTCAGTACTGCCAGGCAGCAGCAATAAAATACTGATGGGTTTTTCAGTCTTATTAAAGTGCTGATAAAGTTTATTTTTTGAGTAAAAAAAATGAATAAATCCATATATTAAGAAGGAAAACAGTTTATCATATACTCAGATATTAAAGCATGGTGTATTGCTGCTTTAAAGTGCATACTGAAACAAAAAAGTCTCACGTATAAATCAGTAAAAAGTCACAAATAATCTAAAATGCAAAAAAAAATTAAAATATGGCAGTTAAAAATACTTAATTAAGAAGGTATTGATTACTTAGCCATATTTGATCCCATCCTTTTTATTACGTAATGATTTCTTTTATGATTGAATAGCAAGCAGTGAAGAGTGGCGGGAAGATAACACAAAACTTCCTGACAACAGACCCGTCAGTTGCTGCCACCTTCTGTCCAGAAGTGGAATGGCTCTGGTTCCCTTTCTCTCTGGTGCCAAACCATTTTCAAGGCCGCTTTCACGAATAAGCATACTACTTGAAACATCACTGTGATATTGCAAAAAGGCTTCAGATTTATACAATCAAATTTGAAATATTCTAGGAAGACTCAAAGAGTGAAGGATGTCCACACCTTGAACAGTCAACACCTTTCATTTACCCCAATATTGTCTTCTTATTCAGGGTACAGAAGACTTTGGGGTATTAGACATGAGAACAGCTGACCATTAATATACTGAGTTAATTTTATTGGTTAAGTGAATTATTGATTAATTCATTTCATTTATCATAGTGATAGCTAAAGATTTTATGCATTAATGAAACAACTTTGTATTATGTTAATGATTTATGCCAACCAGTACTTTAGTGCTGATTATTTGTTTGCAAGCAATGAAAATTATGCAACAATGACCCAGTGTTTTACATTTTATTTTCGAAGGCTAACAAAAATTACCTCGTGTTAATGTTAACTGCAGCTCATATCTGAGCTGCAATCAGGACAACAACTGTTATTGGTGTAGCTGCCTAACAGCTCCTCCCTGGTAAATGAAATTTGTTTTCATAACTTTCTGACCAGTACTGATGTTACTCTTAAAATTTTAAAGACATCTTTTATATAGCTAATTACTTGAAGATTTTCTATAATTTCATATGTCAGTCAACCTACATCTCTTAATATTTCAAATTCTTTCATTAAAAATAGCAGACTCTTTCTCATTATGAAACAATTATAAATGGAACAGAGAGTCCTTTGGTCTTTGTTATTCCCCAGGTATTCTACTGGAAATCTGTTTAGACTTTATAGCCATCTTCCCTAAAATCCACATGCTGTTTACAGAATGTGTTAGTCAGCTGCCTATCACTGTAACAAAATACTTGAAATAATCTCCACAAAAAGAAGGAAAGTTTGGGGCAAGCAAAATATCTCAGTGGTTGAGAGTACTTGCTTTTCTTTCAGAGGGCCAGAGTTAGTTCCCAGCACCGAAGTCAGCTGGCTCACCACTGCCTTTAAGTCTAGCTTCAGGGGACCTGATGCTCTTCTGGACTTTGTAGGTACACACAGCATACCAACAGAGAGAGACGGAGAGAGGGAGAGGGAGAGAGAGAGGGGCACTAAAAGAAAATTAACAGTTTTGCAAAATGAAAGATGGGTTTACTTTGGCTCGCACTTTCAGAAGTTTAGTCAAGGCTAATTGAATTCTTGTTGGAGCCCGTGAGTGAAGTATGGCAGGAGCACATGATGGGTCAAGATGTTCACCTCAGCATGATAAATAAGTGGAAAAGAGAGAGGAGAGACCAAGGCCCCAACACCCCTTCAGGGAAATACCCACTAGCTCCCATCAGCACCCTTGGGAGGGTCTAAACCTTGAACACATGATCTTTCAAGGACACTTATACAGCTAATACCACAGATACTTAAACAATGGCATTTCACTGAGTGAAAAACACTAAACGCCATGTTACTGACTTTAGTGGTGATGGACATGTTGTTAAATGGCCTAATGGCTACTGAATGCATTGACAGACTAAACAGTTATGTCCTTGCAATGCATTGACAGTGTAGACAATTATGTCCTGCAATGCTGAAGTGGGAAGAGCTGTGTAAATAGAAGACACAGTTGCCTAGTTAATATTTCTCTTGTCTTAAAATTGAATTTGAAAAACAATCTGTATTAGTAGTTATGAATGTCAATTTCATTTCTATGGGAGGTTATATGTAGATGTGGCTTAAAATCTTATAGTTAGGTCTGCAGAGCAGTTTCCTTCAGTAAACTGTTTATTGTACAAACATGAGGAGCTTAATTCAAAAGCCAGCATCCATGTGAAAAGACTAGACCAGCAATGTACACCTATAATCTCAACACTATCATTGGGGGTGGTTGCTAGACACAGGAAGAGCTCTAGAACTTGCTGACCACCCAGTCCAGCTGATTCAGTGAAGACCCTATCTCAAAAATTCAAAAACAAAAACCAAAAGAATAGAGAAATAACTGAAGGAACTATCAGATGTTGTCCTCTGGCCTACACACATGCGCGCACACACACACACATGCTCGTCTATGAGCACACACAAAAACCTTTGAGTTACTCAGAATAAGGGGAAATTGGCATTTTTAACATCCATCTGTTTAAAACCATAAGATTGCATTGTAATAAACAGTTATAAGTAGGGCTCAATGTTTGGTCACCTATCTTCTGTCACCATTGAGCCTGCTTATATATTTAAAAAAAAAATCAATGCAGTGATTGGCAGAGAAAAACAATCAAGGATCCAAAACAGGTATTGTATCAATTAGAAAATGCCAAGAGAGCCTCTAATCATCTGGCCACAAAAGTGAAATGATTGCGGATCAATGGGAAAGTCATCAGAGTTTCGATTGTGGGATCTGGTGGAAGTTAATTCAATCCTGTGACACTGTCCACTGAGGAATTCTGTGCAGATTATTTTTTTTAACAAGTAATGACTTCCATGTGTAAGTCAAATTATAAGATCAGGTTTGATTGCTGGGAAGCTTTAGAACATGGAGACAACCTTAGAAGGTAATGCGGGATTTTCTATTATCAAGTTGACCATGCTCCTGTGCATTGCAGGGGAACTGCTCAATTTCCAGTTCAGCCAGAGCTAGAGTGAGATCTCACCCAAAACAAACAAACAAACAAACAACAACAACAACAAAAAAGATGAGGGAAGAGACCATTCCGGATTTTTTTTTTTTGTAATTCTTTTGTGTAGATAAATGAATATACTTTGGGAAACTTTAACTTTTAATGTCTTGCCTATGAAGGCTATCTCTGTGAATC